TTCTAAAGAACTAGGTGGCTGGACATTAATTCTACGTCTCCCAAAATCTTGTGTTAATTTTGTCTTTGTGACAAAACATCTGTCTTGGCAGGAACCCAACATCAGGGTTATGGGCCTGAACTGATTTATGAAATCAAAGCTTTGCTGGCCTGACAACGCCAGCAAAAGCAGAAATTGCTAACGTGTACTTCAGGGAGAACCCATCTGCTATTCCTCCTCAACTGCCATACTTAAAAATATCTCAGTTCAGGGCCTGTACATTGCACCCTGTCCATGATATGTGAATACCAGAATAAACCGCACAGAACTCACCTTAACTTTCCCTGCATTTTCCTCCTCTTCCTTTTTATCTTCAAATTCAAAGGCAACCGTCATACGTTGCTGTCTCTGCTCCTCCCATAAAGTAGGGTTAAAACTATCACTGTCTGACTGGAAATCTACGGTTAAATGCACAAGAAGAAGTAATTAGTGCCAATCTGCAGAAGATTGGAAATTATCTAAACAGACACATTCTCCGTTGATCCTGTAACCTTGGGTGACTGTTTTAAAACTCTTCAGGGGGGCAGCGAGCGTAGTAGCAGAAAAACCATTGCAGAGATTAATGTTAAAACTGAAATGAGAGCGACTGGAAGCACCAGGGGTTTGGGGAAGACCCAAGGGTCTGTAACTTAAGGCAGCTCTGTGAGGAGCCGAACCCTTGCTTCTGTCAGAGCTCTGAACGTCTCGGGTCTGAGTGCCGGCCCGTCACTGACAAGCCCTGAGTCTCTGTGGGGCGACTCGATTTAATGGTTGGACTCCATGATCTTAAAGGTCTTTTCCAATCAAAGACATTGTGTGATTCTGAGTGATTCTGAGCGGGCAGCTCAGGCGCGGCCTAGAACTCCCATCCCGTGCACGCTCAGTTCCCGGCTACTTATTGCTTACACAAAGCCATTCTTCTGAAAAGAAAAAAGGTTTTTAAGAGAATGTAAATCAGATGGCCAAAGAAAAACGGATTTGTAAACAAATCCTTTGTGTGTGACAAAACACAGACGGAGCGCCACTGGCTTCCCGCAGCACGAGGAACGCTGGCACACAGAGCCATGGCCGAAGCCCTTCCTCTCCCTCCTCCTGTTTTCTCCTTCCACACCCCAAACAGGCCACGTCCCTGCCTCAGCAGGCGCTGCTGATGGCATTTACCTTCATCGCTGCGGGGCTGCTGAGGAAACATATAGTTTGTCAGCACTCTCTGCTTTGTTTCGGGGTGAGCCTCGGTTTGCAGCGGAATGAGAGCCTTGGACTGTGCAGGAAAGGCAAAACAAAGAGCACGTGTGTTAACCGACACGGGGGTTTAGCATTTGATAAACAGACAACATAAGATTAACTGCTTTTCTGCATGAAAAGAAACTTGTTTGTGGACTGAACCAAGTATTAATCTGGTGGCAATCCCTCCTCTCCCATTCCTTGCTCCTGCAATTCCTGTAATTCCTAGCAGGATCAACAGAAAAACACTAAATATCAGAAATACTGACCACACATTCCGAGTCAGACCAGCGAGGAAGATCAGAGGAACAGAGCTGCAACCACACAGTTAAAACACCCACGTTATGGCTTGATCTATTTTAGGCTAGGCCTACTGAGGAGTGAATTCACAGCAGTTATTGGTTCATCTGAGGACCTGGTGCAAATGTGCTGGAGAATTTACATGGAGGCACTCTGAATATTCAGACATTACTGCTGTGTTTGACTTCAATTGATTACTTATTATTGCTTTGCTCTTAAAGGAGCATCTTAGGAGTGCCTGCTATAGTTCACAGGATAGACATCAATCGATGCTTTACTGCAGAAAAGTCAAAATGCTGAAAAAATACTGTGTATTTAAAAGGACATGTAGGTTCAGTAGCTGGGCTGAGGAGCCATGCAACGTTACATTTTAAATTGAATCGAGAGTGAAAAAAACAAGTATCTTGATTTAATATATGAAAACTTACTCATCATTTTCTATTGTCCCTCCCACTTAAGTCTCCACTCCCTTCAGCTTTAAAATCTTTTTGCTGAGCTATATGAAGTAAAAAATACATTTAAGGAGCAGGGCAATAAGAATGTGCCAGTGTAAATCTACTGACTGTGTTGCATTTGGCTTTGCTTTGATTTGTCCCCATGGCTTTCTCGCACGGATAAAAGGATGAATTAATTCCCAGTAGCGTGATAATTGGCCCCTGGAGAATCATCCTCACCAGCTTCATTTAGAGAGGTGTAATATCTGACCATGGGCATCATTGCAAAGTGAGGCAGATGAGATTATGAGATTTTATTGAAATTATTAAAAACTGTGAGGTATGTCAAACATTGCGAATATTGTACGGATTGAGTTTTTCTCCATTTAAATTATGGAAGTGCAAAATTATTCTACCCACCAATCCTGGAAAGAATTGAGACTTATTTTAGTGCTCGGATGCTGGTTGAACTGAGAGATTTCTCAGTGTTCACATTACATAATCTGTTTTAAAATAGAATCCTAATGAATATATAGTGGTGAAACCAAACCCTTAGAACAAAGAAAGGCATACTTAAATTTAAAAGGAACTTAAATGAGAGTTTTCTCCCAAACAAGTCTAAGAGTGCTCATGCATCTTTTACATGTTTAAACTCACACTGACTTTAACAGAGTTTAAAATGTGCAGGAATGGAAGCATGGACAGGAAAAGGGAAAAGAAATATGACAAGAATAGAGGCATAGGTGGAGCAAAGGATGGGACAGATGACCAACAAGTTTGATAATAAAGCCTCTTTAATTCCTATTTACAAAATATTTTCTTGATGCTTCTGGCCTTTATTTACTACTTTTGTAAGGATACAGGAGCTTAGCTAGATGCCAGTAATAAATCCTGCAAAGGTGATCTTTCCAAGTTAATGAAAGTCAGCCAGAAGAATCCACACCTTTGATATAAAAGTATAAAGCTGGACTGGGAGCAAACACTTCCAAAATTCTACTACAGCCATGTATTAAATTATAGGTTTCATTTACAGCCCTTGCTAAGACCCCTAGTTACTATAGAAAATATGAATATTGAAAGTCATTACCTGGTTGTCAGAAAGCCACAAAGCCGCAAGTTCTTTAAGTTTAGTAAAAGTGAATGGCAAATTCTTCAGTCTGTAAATGATAACATCGGAACAACATGAACCCTTAATTTTCACAGTAGCTTCTTTTAAAGATATGTATGTAGCACATTTATCTTGATCACACTGAAATTGCTATAATTTCACCTTTATTTTCTCTCACGTTTTAGTAAAAATATTTTATTAAGGGCATTCCACATTAAAAGTAACATTTGGAATCTAAAACTACAGGCATCATACCCTAAAAGTTCGAAGTACATACTCATAATCTCTCTTGGAAGTAATGCAATCAAAGTCACAGCTTATAACACAGAAAACAGAAAAAATCTTGGTCCCAGAGAGGTGTATAGGAAAGACCTAAGTGTTCAGTGTAGCTAACAGAAATCCTTTTATCAGACATTCCACTTTTGGAACAGAAATACTCTAAGATTACTGGAAATACAATTTTGCAGAAACGTCAGGAAAAAAGATTAAAATAATATAAATATTAATAGTGAATCTAAATGACAAATTTAAATGAAACAGTAAAAGATTAGCATTTTAATTATACATGCAAACACATGTCCTAAAAGTGATCTGAATGTGGGAAGGGGGAAATGATGACTAAATACTTGCGGAAACTTCATTCATGTTTTTCCCACTAACTCACCCTGAAGATACTATTTTTGCATTTCAGCCTGTACCAACACGCGAGGGCTGTCCTAACCATGCACCGATGTCGCCCCATCTTTGTATTACAGAACGTTAAGGAGCTGGAGAAACATTGGCACAGGTCACCCAGAGAGGTGGTGGGGGCTCCATCCCTGGAGACATCCAAGGTCAGGCTGGATGGGGCTCTGAGCAACCTGACCCAGGGGAAGACGTCCCTGCTCACTGCTGGGGTTGGACTAGGTGGCCTTTAAGGGTCCCTTCCAACCCAACACTATGATTCTATGATTCTTTGATTCCATGGTTCCATGGTTCTATGGTTCCATGGTTCTATGGTTCCATGGTTCTATGGTTCTGTGGAGGACTGCAGGAAGAAATGGACTGACCAAAGGACCCAAAAGGTCAATTTGATATACAAAAAGGAAAAGAGGAAAGCCCTTCTCTGAGAGCGTCAGCCAACCCCATGCTGTGGAAATAAAGCCTCTTACAGATATGTTCTCTCACACCTTAGGAAAAAACAGACAACCCGCTGCCCGGTACGGCTGCATCGGGAGAACACTCTGCCCTCCGACCCAACAATACTTCAATAGCTTTCTTTGCAGCACACACAGACCTGCATTTCTAGGAGAAGCACCTCACGAGCTTTGGTACCACCTTCTCCATGCAGTGTTTTGGAAACGTATCCTTATTTAGATTTACTTTTGCCACCAAGTCATGACCGTTATTTCAGAAAGCTGTGTGTGCTTACTGCAAGGAATGCATTTTGAAGATTATAATAAAGGTACCTTATCCTAAAAATGACTTCTCTATGAAAGTGAAATAAACTGACACGGATGCATGCCCATACATAGTGTGCTACGATATAACGGCCAATTAACTCCTGTATAGAGTGGTTCTACCCGTGTGTGCATGTTTAAACCTAGAAGTAATGCCATAAGAAAGGAGTGCCTAAACTACCTGAAATCTGGGTTTCATTCCTATCTTACCGTGACATTAATATTGCAGTTTGGAATAGTGCAATACATGGCATCCTTTGTAAAAGTTACAAGTTTGAGCTTTCACAGTTAACATAAAGATTCTTAAATAGTGTTTATCCAGATGTTTTATTCAGAGCTTTTTCCTCTGTATAAAAAGAAAAGAACTTCAAGAAAGACCTTTGTTTCTTTATACCTGTAACATGAGTTTCAAACCTACAGAGAAACCTTTGTCTGCAGGAGGTTACTGGCGATGTTTCCAGGCCACTCAAGGGCAGAAGCTTGTATCAAAGGCAGAAGCAAAACTGGTAAGCATGCTTCAGGAATTACATGTGGCAAGGGGATCGCCAGGTGGTTTTCCATCCCCGTATTCAAACAAAACGGAGAATTCTTTATTCTTCACTCTTCTTGACCAATAAGCTGGCATATCTGTTTTTAAACATCTGAAATGGTCCAATTTTAAGGGAGTCTTTAAAAGACAAAATCGCCCGTTAGATATCAAAGAATGGAGGCACCCACAATCTTTACTGCTTTTTGAAAATTTTTGGTCACAACAAGGCTCAGCCTCTTTTTCTAACTGCATGTTGATTTTGCGAGTTTAAAAACGGCTTTTCAGTTGTGTAGTGTAGGAACATTTCTCCTTCATCTGCACTAACAATCTGTACTAACAATGTACTAACTGACTTTCATGAACAACCAAATTACCAAGTGATTTTTGCATTACACCCACTTTCAAAACAAGGCCCGTGATAATTGTCGCTTACAGTATATTAGTTTAAATGTGAAAGGTAAATACATAAATGTTTCTTTAACTTCATCAGTGAAAGCGAGAGTAAACTACAGCTACAAGAGATCTCAAATATTAGTTCTGCATGGATGTATGTTGATTACTTTCTACATACTACAGGCCAGATTCTATTTGGTATAAATCTGGAATGGGCTGCCCAGGGCAGAGGTGGAGTCTCCATCCCTGGAGGGATTTAAAAGCCAGGTGGTGCTCAGGGACACGGGTTAGTGGCAGGTCTGGCACTGCCGGGTCAACAGTTGGGCTCGATGATCTTAAAAGTCTTTTCCAACCCAAACGATTCTATGATTCTGTGAGAGGGATTTGATAGCCGAGGAGATGTGGTGCTCAGGGACATGGGTCATTGGTGGGTCTGGCAGTGCTGGGTCAACAGTTGGACTCGATGATCCTAAAGGTCTTTTCCAACCCAAACGATTCCATGATTCTATAACTGCTGATTTCAGAGAACCACCTCACATCATCCTCAGCAAAGGATTTAGCCTCCTCTGAAGAGAAAACTGCTCATCAGTAATTGAAAAAAGTGATTAACCTGCACTGCTATCACTGATCCAATACACGACTGCGATTGGGACAAAGAAATGTAGTTTGTGGCTGTGCTGTTCGACAGACAGATCTTTTTCTATGCTCAAATGTCAAAACTAAAGTTTGGAAAATTACATTTGCAATTGCTTTTATAAATCTAAGGGAAAATACTTTCACAACGCTAGATGAAACTTTTGACTGATGCATAGATAGTTCATTCAGAAGATGGCCAAATTTAATTAACTTGCAATTCAAAGGCAAACTACAGTGTACCAAAATGACTTTTTCTTACTAGAGATGGTATTTTACTCAGCCTGAATAAACTGATGTTTGAGGGAAACAACTATTCACAGCAATAGTCTGGAAAGGCCTGACATGCACGTTCTTCTTGCAGGGTTTAATTTTCTCAGAGAAAATGTTTTCTCATGAGAAAAAACAAGAAGAAATTTCCCCTGAAGTTCCTCAGGGGAACAAAACAAAAAAAAATCAGCACACCTTTTGAAATGACATCCCTAAACATTAAACCATTGTATTATATGACTTCCCAGTCTCCAAGAAGCTACATGTCAGTGTGTGACACCACTCTGGTCTGAAGACTTCAGAATAATTCCTTCCAAAATGAAAGCAAGATTATGTCTTTTGCATAACTTGTCAGGTTCTTGAGGGCTAAATACTTTAAGAGTAAGCTAATGAATACTACTCATGCAACACACACAGAAAAAAAAAAAGGCAAAGAAAATGTCACTGATACTGTTTAAATATAAAAAAATATCAAAAGTTGGTATTTGAGGGGTCTGATCGGGTGAAGGTGGTCTTTGCTTTTATTTTAAGGCTCTTGACGGACATAATTTCAACTTAGGTGACATTCAGGAAGAATTTCCCAATAATTACCCAAACATGAAAATTCATGTCAAAACATGCCGGAAGTTAATCACAACAAGGGGCATTTCCAGTCAGTTGGCCAAGCTGAGTTGCCATTCGTGACGGTTCTCCAAGGCAACTCTCAGCAAACTGGTAATAAAGGGGTTTCCAAAGTGTGAAAGTTTAGAACATACTGTTCACAAACCCACTTGTCTACATCACCAGAAGTAATTACCTCTTTGACAATAACCAATCCAGTGTAATTAAATATCTAACCAGAAAAAGAAAAGGTACACCTGGCAACAGACTTATTTTGAATGGATCATGTAATCGTAGGGCTTTTTTTCCATCTAACTTCTGGGGGTGAGATTCAGAGCAGTAATTGAGTTCTGACCCCAGGACAGAAGCAGAAGCAGTGCAAATACAGAAAGGTGCTGATTCTTTCAGCTCTTCTTTAAGAACAATCTAAAACTAAAAGAAAGGTTACTTACCAGTAACCGATGCTCTTTGAGAAGTGTAGCCCAAATGTACATTCTAACAATTCTACCTCTCAATCACAGGACTCATACCTGGAAGGACTCTGAGGAGAGAGGAGAAGCAGATGGAAGACAAATGTATATGTGGACTACACATTGTGAAGAACACCGGTTACTGGTAAGATATCTTTTTTTTTTTTTTAATTTTCTTTGAACGAATGCCACGTGTACTCTTAACAGTGACTGAATCCAAGCAGCCACCCCCAATGACTCATTACATGGTGGAGGCCTTGGTATCTGTCACGCAAGTAGTAACTGCACAACCACTTTATCAAATGCTGCACTGGTTCTTGAAGCACTGGAGACAGTGTCACGCCTGGCAAAGGCAAGGATGAAACTCCAGGCAGTTGCATCGCAAGTATCTGGAGTCAAAACTTTCCTGACTGCAGAGGGTGAAGCCACCTAAGCTCTGCTCAGTTGCACACCAGCCCTTGTTAGACTCCACCTTAGCAACGTGATAGCAAGTCAGGATTCAACCCATCATTGCCTTTTACTGTGCAGAGACAACCAAATACTGCATTTCCCAGGGGTGACGAGCCTGTAGCAGGGTTGGAAGGGGTTGGACCTGTAAAGATAAAAGGAGAGAGGACTCCGAGCTACAGGGATGAGAAATATAGATACAGTCTTAAAGTGCATGGCATGGGAAAAAAATGCTGGAGTCTAATTTCCTGGTTAAAATGGAATTTTAACATGAAGATTTGAATAAAGTCCTGGAACTAAATCAAATCCAGTCAATTAAGATCAGCAAGGTCCATCTTACAGCGACGAGGGCCTTCAGGAGACATGGAACAAGAAGTCTGTAGTAGGTGAAACCATGGTATTAAAAATGCCCTAGAGAAGGACTCCAAACACTGACCCACCTTTGAGAAAAATGTGTCAGCTCACAAAAACTTGAGACTCCTATTAGCCTGACTGGCAAAGAGGTCTATGTCAGATTTGCCTCCTTCCTGAAAGAAATGCAATCAGGACTTGAGATAAAACCTCCCAAAATGTTTCTGACTCATACCCAGACAAGCTCCAGATAATGCAAGGGAGGGAGAGCTCCTCTTTTCCTCTTTACACGCTACTACACAACTGTCCATCACTCCAGGTGTGCGTGACTGTTCAGAGAGCACATTGCAAATTTTCCACAGGTTCTGGCAAGCTCAAAGCCACCAACATCCCTCGCACTCTACATGCCTTGATCCAGAGTCCACTGCCCGTGCCATGAGGAGCACATCCAGAATCACCATTTTTTTGGTGGCAAAGGGGCATCTCAATAAATACTTGAGTAGCCCAGCTACAGGCAGAGAAAGTCACTGGGATAAAGGCAACGACTTAAGGGGCTGATGGATACCCAAGTGCACCATCTACAGTCACAGCTGCAGACACCAGGGGAGAAATGTGGCCCTTGACAAAGCAGAAGGAGATGACTCTGGGGTATCACTCACTGGGATGAACCTGTGGCAGACAGATCCCCAGCGGATGACTGTGTTTCCCTTTGTAAAACTATACATCTGTGACGATCAGCATGGATCGACCGTCACGGTGTCAGCCTGCTCCCTCTGCGAGGAAAATATCGAGCAAGGATGCATGAGCAACTGGACACCCATCAGAATGAACATGAAATCCCATAAAGGACTGACCATATTCTGGAAGAATATGTGGTCATATGGAGAGTCCATCCCCACTTGTTCTATAGTACAGGAAGAAACAGCTGCTCCTCAGAGCGTTTGTGCAAGGGTTGGAGTTTTTTTGTGCCCAAAAGGCCGTATCGGTGGGGTTTGGTGTGAATGGGTGTGCCTCAGCAGCGGCAAAACGTTTAAATGTTTTAGTTTCGCTAAGGTGGCGAGTTCCTTAACAAAAGCATTATCACAATGTCTCAGCAGGGCAATGTTTAACTTCAGCCAAAATTTACATCAACAAAGGAGGAAAAATTCACTCCCCAACCCCCTCATGAAAAGTACATGAGACAGTCCAACCAGGTTTAAAGGTTGAGGGTCTACAGTCTGAGCCAGTTTGTATCTCTGCTAGTCTAGACTGTGCTCTCCCACTAGTTCTGCCACGCTTACAACCCTCCACACAGTTTTTTCAGGTTGACTTGAGAGAACAACTTCCCACCCCGACAGGCCAAGGTCTTGTTCTCCTGCCCTCCTCACATCAACTCCTCAGAGCCACCGTTCACCTTCAGCTGGCCCTGGTTTGCCAGACTCCACAGTGAGCAAACGGACCATGAGGAGTGTCATCGAATGAACACCGCAAGAAGGATGACAGCTTCTTCCAGTGAGATAAATCAGCTCCAGAAACTTGTCCAGGGAACCCTGAGCAAGCGAAAGGGCAGATGAAGGGTTCCCAGCCAGCCCTGACAGGGGTGGGAAGGCCACAGCTGACAGCCCACTGCAAGGAAAATCACATCTTTGGGATGCTGGTCCCGTAAGTAGCTTCCCCCACAATGGAAATCCCAATCCTCTCTTATACTGGGGAAAAGGGAAGGTGGGGCAGGACTGCTGCTTTGGTGGCACCCAACTGTCAGGTCAGCTTGGTGGGGAAACCTTGCCTGCTCTTACCACTCCCCAGCAGTGAGGCACCTCCTCCTCCTCCTCTCAGCTCAGCAAGAGCACTCACCATCAGTAATTACACACCACGTCAGGTGCCTGAAATGAGCAGCTGACCTGGCTGAAAAGCAACTTGTCAAAAAAGAAAAAAAAAACAAAAAACTTCCCAAAACCAAACCCCTAGTTTTCTGGTGACATAGTGAGGGGACAGTACCCCCATCCCTGGGAGAGTGCTGGAATCGGAACCCAAGATCGAGAGACCCGAGACTGGATTCTGGGACTTGAGCAGTTGCAACATAAACTAGAGTGAAGTTTAACTTTAGGTTCCAATCTATGCATCATCTATTTTATGACACACAATTGCAATGTGGAAAAGCATCTAACGGAATTAAGCAAACAATTTAAAACAGATTACAGGGATTTCTATGCTACTTCACTTGGTGTTTTATGCTCAGCCTCAATCTCACCAACGAAATTGCTGACAGTAAATCTGACACGGCTGCAGAAAGCCCTTCCCCTAATTTTTACTGAGTAGGAATGCTAATTACTGGAAACAAAAGGGTACTCACACACCATATGTTGCACTACCGAGCAAACTTGTACTTCTGTGGTTTTACTGCAAATCAACCTATTCTCGGAACATAAATGTGCATAAATCTCAAGGAAAAGTCTTTCCTGATGCCTATGGCAGCTTGGGACAGGCATCAAGAAAGGCTCACTTTAAGCACTGTGTTTCTCAGAGGAATAGTCATGTGCATAAGAATAGAAGAATCTGGGTTTTTTTGACTAAACCTTTGTCTGTTGAAGGAAACATAAATTTTTCTTTTGATTTTGAGGCAGGATTATATGCTAATGTGCTTGCATTTAATGATTCCCTATATACCAGCTTGTCACAATGTTTTAATCATTAAATATGACGAAGTTATATATGACTTTAAAGCCAAGTATCATCCTTACACATGGAAACAGCAGGAGATAAAACAGGTTTTAACCTATTAAAACACACTGAGACCCAGATCTTGGGCCCCATTCAAGTTTTTCTTTGGATGAGAGTGGAATTAAGATCAGATTAAAAAAATAAATCAATATTTTTTCAGCCCATATAAATAGTTTAAATCAAGTAATTCCAAATATATTTTTTACATTTTACAATATGTTTTGTAGAAATGTATTGTTACAAATACCTAAAATCAGTAGTTTTAAGTAGTTTAAATACTTGAAAAAAATAACTCCTTATAATGAGTTAGAAAAATTATGTGAACTATACCTGTTATCGCTCAGATTTAACACCCTCAGCTTCTGCATCTGACCGATTTCATCAGGAAGAAATTCTAGCTTGTTAGAGCGCAGAGACATCACTGTTACATTTTTGCAGCTTCCAATCTACAGGAATGAAAAAACCCAAAGATGTTAAGATACCTACTTTAAGAAAATTTATTACCATCATCTTTTTATGCCAGGAGGCAGCCAAATTGTGTTTTTACTCTACATGACAAAAAGCAGAAAATACAGAATTTCGTCAGCAAATAATGCCCTCCCTTTGTCAGTGACACCACATTTGCAGGAGCAATTGTTTTAGCAGCTATTTTGTCTGGATAGGGATGAATTCTTGGGCCTGCCACAAATCATTTCAATCTGTAACATCAGAATGAGCTTCTCACCTCTCTGGGCAGTTCAGGAAGGAAATTCTCATCCACAGCCAACGTCCTCAGGTTATGAAGGTAGCCGATAGTAGCCGGTAAGGACTCCAACTCATTGCAGCTGCAGTCAAATTCTTCTAATAAAGATAAACTGAAATTGTAAATACACTTGTTAGACACTATACAAGGACTAGAAAGCAAAAACGAACGACCTGAAACCTTTGAAAAATTTAAAGATTCCGCTACTACAGACATCATGCCCTGAAGAGGGAACCCCTATTGCAAGTTTCCCTAGGAAAAATCTGTAATAATATGATTTTAGGAACCACTAAGGACACTGCCATTCAGTCTTGCCCAGTAAGGTAGTTTAAGAAGAGCCACTTATTTTCCCCACATTATCACTCTTACTTCTTGTAGTGAGGACATATTCCAAGTGCTTCAAACAGATAGTGATCAGGGCAATTCATACTAAGCCGATGAATCAAACCAAAAAGTTGATGATTTTAACATACAAAGAGAGACAACAGCTAAAGAAATACCTCTGTGAGAGCACAGGGAAGGCAACCAGAAATTGCCCCCAGGGTACAATCCAACCGATGCACCTGACATCATTTCTAATGCAGGCCAGTAAGGAAAAATTGGGTTAAATGGCAAGCAACTATTTCTTCCTCAACATTTGTCATCTTCCCATCCACTGACAAAGGAATTGGGTACTCAGAAGATTTGTCTGTTGGTTTGTTTTTTTCCCCAAAATGCTTTGGTAGGACTGATAAAAAGTTTAGCTTTGCTACAAACCTGCCTCCTTAGTATTTATATGAGTCACAGCTGCAGGACTGGACCTTCACCGTATGCCTAACTTAGCTTTATCCTAGTTTCTTAACTAAAAAAAAAAAAAAAGATCTTTCAGCCTTCAAATGTTACGAAACATGAAACCAGTAATAGCTATTCCTAACATGGAATTCTCAGAGCTTTCCTCTAATTGCTGTATTTCAGGGGACCGAAAAGCCAAAGTGAGTCATACAGTGATTAGTGAGGGAGATGCCTGGAAGAGATCCAAAAGCTCTGCCAGGTTTTGGTTATAGCTTTTCCTTAATGCAAGTTTTGTATCCACCACAATTTATTTCAAACTAGATACAAAGCAATTTCGGTAAAGGCAAAATTCGGTCGTGTTTACCTACTTCATACAGAATGTGTGCTTGACAGAGGGAAGTCCAGCTGGAAAGCTTGTTAAATTGCAGATGCAGACACGCTTCCTTTTAGTGATGATAACACAACCAGAAAAACTCAAATATAGATAAGCAAATTGAGAACTACTAGGTTTCCAATGGCAGTCGGAAAATCTGATACTCTGAACTGCAACCGTGGAAGCTTCCCAGACTGTGAAGAACAACTTTATCAGATAAAAGAGTTTTATTTGAAAGGTATTGTCTGGCACAGACATTCTCAGATTCCTTCCTTCCTGTTGACATCAGCAGCAGCGAAATGAAGATCACAATCAAATCAACAAAGTCGGTGTGAAACTGTGTTTTATCTCATGGTGAAAAAAATAAGTGCTTTACAAACTGACCTTCCATTCATCATGGATTGTGCATGAAAGTAAGCTGATGATAGCCGCTCTAATTCTGACAATGTTAATTTAGCTAAAATATCATTAACCTTATTGTCTTCTTGGGCTAAACTCGGATTGTTCTTGATAGGTTTAAAGAAGAGCAGGCAAAAATCTGATAGGCATCTGCTGTTCAGTTTGGCACCCATAGAATCATAGAATAATTCAGGTTGGAAAAGACCCTTGGGATCATCGAGTCCAACCATTGACCCTACACTACAAGTTCACCCTAAACCATATCACCCAACACCACATCTAAGCGACACTTGAACACATCCAGGGATGGCGACTCAACCACCTCCCTAGGCAGTCTGTTCCAGTGTCTGACC